TATATATATATATATATATATATACGTAGGTAAATTATCCAAGTGAATTCTAATAATATGAAATATTAAAATTGATCCACACAGACATCTCAGTGTATTTATTATAATAGAGTATATATAAATAAATTACATAGAAGAGAAATTAAAAAATACAAGATTTGTATAGCTATTTCACCCCACAAGAACTACCTTGCAGGATTTGTCAACACCAAGAGATTAGACAATAAAATAAAAAGGTAACTTGAAAATTTTAAACTTTAAAGATTCAAGAATGGAGAAGAGGGAAAGATGAAGAAGTAAAAGAAAAAGAAAAAAAGAAAAAAAAAGGGTAAGGAAGAAAAATAATATAACTGAGGGCACAGTAAATCGTGTAGGCAAAGCTTAAACAAAGTTTCCAATTTTATCTAATTTTTAAATTTTGAATTTAATTAATTTTTCTTATAGAATCTAGATGTTAATATTTTAAAATATAGGTCAAATTTATTTATCTGGTTTCTGAATGCTGATATTCCCTCCCGCTACCACCATGAAACTTATTACATGTGCCATCAACTGAGACCTTCATTTACTTCAAAAAGAATTATACTGAGCAATTTAACTATATTATGTTGAAGTATGTTGTAAAGTATAATAAAGTATAAATAATGTTGTAAAGTATAATACTTATAAAGTACAATCGTTTTAATGTGATTTTCAATAAACAATGCAAATTTACAAACGTCTTGCCTCTTAATTTGTGTCCAGTAGTATTATAGTGTTATATACACTTTTATCTATTTTTTGTTTTTTATTAACTATGTTCTAACAAATGATCTTAAAAATCTCATTCCTCGAGTAGACATTTTGTAAACATTTTAAACAGCTTTTACTAATGGAATATAGCAAAAAGCCTGGCAAGTTTTGTTTATGTTGATATATAATTAGTATAATTGTTTGAATATATTTTGCATTTAATGAATTTACTATAAAATATATCAAATTTATTTAGATTTATTGCTGAAATAGTAAAAAATCAATTTGATAGCAAAAACCTCAGTACATTTTTTCAGATGATATTCAAAACTAAATACTCAAAAAGTGGTAAAAGCTATGAATCTAATTCTTAGTGCCAGGACTTTGCACATCAAACCATAGGTTTCGAATGAAATGCAATGAAGATTTTCTAAAGGAAATGAAAACTTAATCTACACTTGGGCTGGCAATTTATTTTTTTAATATATATAACCAACATATTTTTAAAATAGGAATTACCCCAATCAAAGCAGTAATGCCACTAAAACACAATGAGTTACAGATTGTTGAAGAATTAAGAACAGAAACATTAATGATGAACAAAGATAGAAAACAGAAATCAATTAGACGGTAGATGGTAATTGATATTGTATATAAATTTTATCAGATTAAAGTTGGCTAGAAAGTATGGAAGCGGAAAGGGTTAATTCTGCGAACGTAGATTGTTAACTATTTCTAAATAGCAAATGTCCAAGCGAGATTTTAAAGATTAATTTTCAGGGGGACATTAGATAGCGATTTAAATTGCATTTGAATTTTTGCAGATTAAAATTGACTGGTGAAGTGAGAAGTGCGAGACAAGAAACTGTTAACATAGAATTTACGGCTACACCTAACCAGGTTAACTGTAAAGTGATAAGAACTCGACGCCAGTCTCGTGCTGCGCTTAGATTTAAAAAAAATCTCTAGGTACCATAGTGAAGATCTAATTCGAAGAATTACTACGAAAGTATTTATAGAAAAAACAAATAGAGTCGGGTTTAGCTTTCAGAGACAGGACCAATAATATTGTAGATTCTTCTTTGGATCTTATCAAGGAGCTCAAAGTAAATAGCAAGGATACTGGATTATATGTGGCAGCAATATTCTAAGTGTGAACGAATGGTAGACTTATAGATATGTAAGATAGAATCTGGAGAGAAAAATTGTCTCGCCCGACATAGTGTCATTTTCCTGGAGGATAGCATCAGCCATCTTGATAGATGGTAGCAAGGTGTTTCTCAGATAATTTATGGAGAGAGGTTTAGTTTAGGAGGCTTTAAAATTAACAAGCCATTTTTCCTCCAATTATCTACGCACTTGATGTCGTTTTGGGATTCTACTGCCATTTTGACCTTGTCAGATTTATAAGCCTTACTATCTGGCAGGAGTAAATTGTTGCGCTCTCAGCGTAGATCCAAGTTGGGATCTGATGTCATCAGGAAGTTCATTAATGAAAATTAAAAATACAGTAGAACCAAGTATGGATCCCTTGGGGAGGGGATACCTGCGTTTGTACGAAATGCTATTGACGTGTTGTCGTTCAGGATAACTTTCATTACACGATTTGACAGGAAAGACTGGATAAGTTAAAAAATGTGTCTGGATAAACCGTAACATTTCAGCTTATGGAGAAGACCTGAATGTCAGACCCTGTCAAAAGCTTTCGAGACATCCTGTGCAAAAGCGTTTGTATCTAGAGCATGACAAACGTTTTTCCGCAAATCTCAACAGATCAGCAGTTGATCTAGAGAAACGAAAGCCATATTGCTTGTCTGAGAAAAGGCCCTGAGACGACGAACCAATTCAGCATTGATTACTGCCTCTAGAAGATTCCCCCCGCCAAAAAAAAAAAAAAAAAATGCAGAAGGCTAACAGGCCGATAGGTGGAAGTGTCGGACACCTCACCAGAGTTTTTAAAAACTGGGACAACAGATGGTGACTTCCAGATATCAACGTGGCGGTAATTATACCATTTAGAGAGAACGGAAGTCAGTTTGGAAGCACAGTTTTTTAATGATTATTACGGGGATACCATCGTGCCTACATGCTTTGTGGGGATCTAGGTTAGATATCATATTAAAAAAAAATGGAAGATATTATATGCATATTACTGAACAAAATGTCAGTTGTAAGCCGGAAGTTAGGCAAGGTTATTCTGGATGTGTCACAAGTAGAGTTTGGTGATAATTTACGGGCAAACCATTCAGCTTTATCAACAGAGGAAGAACACACCTCAAATCGATTGAATAGTGGGGAACAGAAAACTTACACTTATTTAATGCCTATTACAGAGCTGCTAGCAATCCCGAGAGCTAAAGTTCTTAAACGTTATGTGGTGCCTCATTCTCTCGGCGAGCAGGGACTTTGCGTCTTCGCGTACTCGCTTACATTTATGGCGAGCAGTAACGAATAAGCGCCTGTTGTGAAAAGAGCCGTTACGCTGGCATAGCCGGAAATAGTGGTTTCTCTGTGCTATAGCGGTCGAGCATGCTGATGTTAACCACGGAGAAGATTGAGGTTTTACCTGATATTTCCGGGAGGAGATGAAAACGTTCATGCTGGCTTTGATCCAAGAAGAAACCTTAGTGGCGCAGTTTTCAATTAAGAGTTTAAAGATCTCAGTCCAAAAGAGAGCCACAATGAAAATCCCGAATGAGTCCCCATCAGCATGCTGTGGTAACGGAAAGAGATCTTGTTGATTCGGTGGGGGGTTCCTATTTAATAGATGACTGGAACGAAATATCAAGAGCTACCACAGAGTGGTCCGTGTTACCAAAAGGGAAGTATTGCGTAGTTCAGCAAGAGCGAGCAGAGGAGGTAAGAGATAAATCAAGTAGAGAAGTCTGTTTCTCGGTTTTGCTAGGGAAATGAGTAGGAATGTCCATGATTTGAGTAAGGGATTGAGCAATTAAAAAAATTAATGTCGGAATACGGACAAAATCAGTGACTTTAAAATTGTTCAGCCACATGTCGTGGTGAGCATTAAAGTCACCGAAAACAAAGTTTATCGCAGATGGATGGAGAGAAAATGTCTTTTCTATACTGTGAGCAATTACGTCTAATATACTACAGTCCTGGGAAAGGAGGAAGCGATAAAGAATAAAGATATGAGCTAACAGTGTTTAGTAACGAACGGCGGAAGCACAAGGAGTAGTCTGAGGCCAAAGAAGGCAATTCCCTTTCAATCGGAAGATTGTGCCAGATCTAAACACTTAGGTCACGCGTGAAATATCGAGTTTAATTCGGTACCTCTACGAGGCCCGTTGGTATGAGTTTGCTTCATATCTTAACTGCCCGGGTTTCAGTTCTCGGTAGTGGATGGGCACTGCTGATGAGTCCAAAATATAGGACGAAACCGCCGTCCAATGCTTTCTGCATTTGTTGAGGTTTCTTCTAGACTCAATAAATTAATATATATATATATATATATATATATATATATATATATATACATTTGGTTGCATTGATGTGTGTTCATGACCTGGGTTTCACGCTTTTGCGATCGTCATTTTGTCTGACGATCGCAAAAGCGTGAAACCCAGGGTCACAAACTCAAATCAATGTAACCAAATATGTTAGCTCTATCTCTGATATTGAGCGTTTTCTAATAAGTTCCGCGCATATAATATATAACTAATTATGTATATTTATATTTATATTTATATACACACACTTTTCACACACACACAAATATATATATATATATATATATATATATATATATATATATATATATATATATATATATATATATAAATATATATATATATATTGAACACTAAAAAATTAAAATCTTCAGACACACTGGGCTGTATATTAATATTCATTCGTTTTATTATTATTTCATTTAGATTCCTCAAATACTTTCGGCCATCATCAGGAGAAAAAAAAACTGCTTGCCGGTACCAGTGAACTACAGAAATATATATATATATATATATATATATATATATATATATATATATATATATATATATATATTAGAAACCTTCACATACATACATGGGTTTGTGTGTGTTCGTGCGTGAGGGCGTTTATACGTGTTTTAATTAATTTTCCATAAACAGGCGTTTATTTGTTACTACTCGCGATAAATATAAGCGAGTACGCAAAGATGCAAAGTTCCTGCTTGCCGAGAGAATGTAGCACCGCATAACATTATTGACAAGCCTTAGATCATAACTACTTATGATCTAGGGTTTGCAAGCCCTAGATCATAACTATTTATGATCTATGGCTTGTCATTAAGGTTATCTGAAGTTGGGATTGGTGAACCGGGTACATATTCCTTTCGTGTTGTTCACGTTCCCTTTCGAATCTATATTTTCTCCCAGGTTGGCAGAATGAGTAGCCACCAGTCAAGTAGAAGGAAAACTCTGAATTCCGAAACAAGCCCGAGGAGGTATAGATTCCATCAGACTAACTTTTCCACGGCTTTATTGGATGACATTGACCATAGTATGACAACTTTTATCAAGGACACATACTGTCACATTAGGAGGGCAGAACTCGGCCATTTTAGATAGAAAGAAAAAAAGAAAAAAAAAGGAGAAATTTTTTTATTCATTAATCGGAATCAAAACACGGAAAGGAAACAAACATTAAAGAAATAAATCATTTTATTCATTAGGAAGTATAAAAATGATTTGAATGAAATGCGGAATCCAAACACACGGTTATTTCTGATTTCCGTTGACCGTTCGAAGCTATTTGCCTCTGGCATTTGAAATTCTTTTTACCACTTTTAATAAGAATCGTCGTTCTATACGCCTTTCTTTTTTTCTTTCTTTCTTTTTTTCTTTATTTCTTTCTTTCTTTCTTTCTTTCTTTCTTTCTTTCTTTTTTGTGTACATTTAGTTCTTTCTTTCTTTTTTTTCAGTAGAGTTTGTATTCTTTCTTTTGTCTACTATGTTTTTTCTGTACACTTCTTTACTTCTTTCTTTCTTTTATTCTAGTGCTATTTTATGCTTTCTTTTTTCTTTTCCTTTTCAGCAGACTTTATACTCTTTCTTCTGTCTATTCGATTTTTCTGTCTATCTCGTTCTTTCTTTCTTTCTTTTTTCTTTCAATATTATTTAGTTTTCTCTGTACATCATTCTTTTTTTCTTTCTTTTCCTTATTACTGACTGTATTTTTTCTTTCTTTTATTCTTTTCTTTCTTTTATTCTTTTCTTTCTTTTTTTGGTTCTTTATCTTTTTCTTTCTTTCTTTCGTTCGTTCTTTCTTCGCAGTACCTTTTTCTTATGTCGTTTCTATTGTTCTCTTTTTCTTTCCTTCCTTCCGTTCTCACTTCCTTCTTTCCTTCATTCTATTTGATTCTTTTAGTTGAAGTTTCTGTTCTTTCTTTCTTTCTTTCTTTCTTTCTTTCTTTCTTTCGTCTTTCCAGTAGTGTTTGTCCTCTTTCTTTCTTCTGTGTTCTTCTTTATTCTCTCTTTCTTTTTTGCTTCTCAGTAACAATTATATTCATTTTACATTGTTTGATTTTATCTTCCTTTTTTGCATTAATGATTCTTTCTTCCTTCTTTTCTTTCTTTCTTTTTTTTACAATGAAGTTGCTATTATTTATTTCTCTTTACTTCTCTCTTATTTTCTTTTTGTTTTTCTTTCTTTATTTCATCTATAATATTTTACTCTTTCTTTCTTATGCACACTTCTTTTCTCTCTCTTTTTTTGCTTCTCATTAACGATTATATTCATTTTCCTCATTACTAATTGTTTCTTTCTTTTTGCTTTTCCGTGGGACTTTTATTCTTTCTTTCTTTCTCTGTATTCCTTTCTTTCTTTCTTTGTTTCTTTCTTTCACAGTTCATTGGAAAAATACTTGTTAATTGTTTATCATTGCCTATTGGAAAAAGCATCCATAACTGCCTAGTTCCGATGTACTTGTTATTTTTCTTTTACTATTTAGGCATTCCCGGCTCCATTACGCCTGGTAAAGATAACCGCTTCAGGTGGAATCATGATTTTAAAATCCGTATTATTTTAAGATTTCTTTATAATTCTCTTTAATAAATTAATAGCAAATATGTTCCCGCTGTATTTTTTGTCCTAGCGGCTGAATTTAAAATAACTTTCGCTAAACAATAAAAAATCTTTCTCAAATAACAGTTTCAGAAAGATGGCTTAGTCCTGACAAAGTATTCTAAGATTTCGTTTTTCGTTTTGACATTTCTTTGTATTTCTGTGTATATTCACCGATAAAGAAACATGATCATAAAACAGAACAATTATGGAAGCCGTGTCTGTGATTCGTTCATATATTCCTATCTGCTATATCATATCAAAAATCCTAAAACCAACTCGCTTCATTCAGAATTACCATTGAAATGTCACTGAAAATTATCCAGCGACATTCAATGTATCAAAGACTATTTTTTTTTGTTTCTTAAATAAAAAAGCAACGCAACAAGACCAATAAGATGCACGGGTTTAGCGAGTGTAAAATAATATGATTATTTTTTCTCTTTCTTTCTTTTGAAAGAAAGAGAGAAAAATGAGAGACATCGCCTATAAATATTCTCAAAATTGTGGCAAAGAAAGAAGTTGGAAGAGACGTCCATCCAGAAGTGCGAGAGAAGAAAATCTTTAGCATAGAACTCTTTAAACTGTAAAATAATGAGACCTTGCCGCCAATCTAGTACTGCGCTTAAATTAATAATGTCTAGGTACCATACAAGAAAGTAATATTATTATAAAAATACGAAAATGTGGTACAAGGCCAAAACGGTGGGGATAGGTGAATGTTGATTTTTAATCTGTCTTATTTTAAACTTAGCTAGCCACTATCACTGACTCAAACATACTACCGTATTCCATACACCAAAACAATTTATTTTTACTTACCATTCTTAGTGCAGCCACCATAATACCTCAAAATCTCTGTGAAGTCCTAAATAGTCCAATGTCATAGGCCCTAGTCGACGAATGGATTTATAAGGCGATCATACGCCGACCAGAAGATATATACATTATCACATCTGTAAAGAGATACGGGCTATCTCTCGCAAATCATGACTATGGACAATTAGTAAACAAAAATATTTTAAAGAATACTGTTCGATTAGGATAATCGAACAGTAATCTTTTCCCAGGTTCCCTTCGGTTTCAACACGAATACTGATCCACAATTCAAGGATGAACGATAAGGCGTAGTGAATTTTGATATAAGAATTTTAATATGTACATATATACAAAATATTAAAATAAAAGAAAAATATAAGCATGAGTAAAACATCCGACGACCAGTTCTCAAGACTTATGTTGGGATACCAAAATATGTCTTAATCCAAGTGGATTCGACTGAACCCGAACGGATAAAAAAATATAAGTATGAATAACTACGAATGGAGAAATCAACGCATAACCAAAAGAGATGGGATAGGATTTACATATTATTATTTTGACATGAGGAAAGGTGTTTGTAAGAAGATAATATTTATGGATACATGTGTATCTTTCTAACACGGGTCAAAAATATATAATTACTTATCTTTATATTCAGTTCTCTTTTTAATCATTGTCCTTTCTTTTCTTTCTCACGTTTCTTCTTTCCTTTCTTTCCTTTTCTTTACACAAATACAATTTCACACACGGTCCGGCTGTAACAGAGATGTACACTTTCTTTCTCTCTGGTTTTCTTTCTTTCTTCTTCTGTATGCAGTTCAGCTTGTAACAAGATTCAACTGCGACAGGGATATACACTTTCTTCCTCTCTCTGGTTTTCTCTTTTCTTTCTTTCTTTCTTCTTCTTTACAAAATGCAGCTTGTAACAGAGATATATACTTTCTTCCTCTCTGGTTTTCTCTTTTCTTCAAACGCAGGCTGTATTCTCAGCGTACAAATTTCTGTGCGTCTTCTGTGATAAATAACGCGAGTTATCGTCTTCAATTTGGGGTTATCGAACAGAAATACGTCTTCTTATATTTCTTGTCCGGATTTGCCTGGGATGAATCGGACAAGTTCCATCATTATCAAATGAGTCTCATCTTTCCGTTCATAAGTTATCAGCGCTTCGATTTCGAGTCTTGCTCCTTCAAAGACAAGACAGCAACTGACTCCCAAGTAATTTTCTAACTCTCACGTGTCCTGCGTTTTGGCGCGAATTCCAGCTTACATCAGTCCCCTGTCTAGCTTCTGTCTAGACATCTGTTGCGACGGGTAATTGGGTCAGTCAACTTCTTGACTTGCTTTCCCAAAATATCTCAAGACTTCCACATGACCTCTTCTGTTGTCAGGCGGAAATTAACCTTAATATATGCGTGTATGCGTGTTTGGGCTATCTGCATCCGTCACAACAATTTATCTGTGGGGTCGGAATAAAAGTAAAAACTTTAAAAAATCGAGGAATATTCATCAGAAAAATGACTCCGAATATATTTATAGAAAAGGCAAAGGAGTGCTACGTTATGGCGGTGGGAATGTGACTGAAGCCGAGATGACAGGTCAGGAACTATAACATTGCTGATTATTTATTTTTTATTTTATAAAAAATTATCTTGTTATCCTATATATCCAATTACAACAATAGAAATGTTTTACTGGCAGGAACGCTAAATAATTGTATGTTTGTTTCATTCCATAGCAAATTTAGAGAGCTCATCTACCTGCCACCATCTTTTCGTGAGTTAATTTTAGAGCATGCGCATTCGTCAAAAGCTAATTCACTTGGCGTTTTCTTATTTTCTCGCTGTAACTGTTCGAATTCGTTCTTGCCATTCGGCGACAAATTAATGGCAGATTAATTACATTTCCTCCACCCCATATTTCGTTGCTGGAGCGAGGAAAAAAATAAGTAAGCAGAAGGATTAACAAGAATAGGTATGAGAAACCTAGAAGGACATATACAAGACACTAAAGATGGCGATTTTCATGATGATGACCTAATATTTGGAAAACAGTTATATGTCAAAAGAATATAACGTAAAGACAGACCAATGTATAAGAAACCTCTTATTACGAAGAGTGTTTTAGAAAAAAATACACTCGCATCCGACAGATGTTTATTAAATAAAAATTCAGCCTGACACTTTAAAAATTAGCCTATAGTGTCCGAAGCACAAAAGAGATCAAAGCATCAAAATGAAAAAAAAACACACACAGTAAAAAACATGGTTTCCATTTGCAACCTTGTGCAAATTAATTGAAACAAAACGAATAATTCTATTATTATTTCTTTTTTTGTGTATTTTTTTCCAATGAAACATAACCATTGAACATTTTAGTACTTCGTATGTCCCTTCCAAGAAATCGTTCCTTGCAGATTTACCACAGATTCTTGATTGGATTTATATCAGGAGAATTTTCCGGGTCAGTCTTTGATTTGTTCACTGGTAATGCTTGCTAATGTGTTCATGAAATGTTACAATTTTCGTAGGCTTTTTTGGAGTATCGTCCATCGCAGACAATGGCCGCTGGAAATACATGCAGAGACAATTATCCATGCGCAACAAGGACACTGCAGATATTACGATATTATACGAGTGTAGTCCAGGGTAACTCCTGCAAGCGCTGTTAATGAGAATGGAGTCCTTTCCTACCAGTCGGGATACAGTAACTAAAAAGCAGCCAACCCACTTAAAATGAAAAATTCTAGCCACAGATCAGCCCGATTACCGAAAAATTTAAACAGCTAAATCATTAAGATCATGGAGGCTTTTTCTACGACAAACTTCTTTATCTAGGTCACTTGTTATCAATTCCACTGCTTAAGAAAATAAAAAGCGGACGGCTACACAAATACATGTACCCATTAAAAATGAAGGTTATAAAATTTGAAAGAAATTCTGTCAGATAAAAGAATCAATTCAAAAAAACACTAGTAGAAGCCCCAACAAGAAAAATGATTTATTCTATAAATAGGCAATTCGAATTTTGCCCTGTCAGAGCGACATCTTTGGCCGAAGTAGTAAAAGCACGTTCGGCTACAGAAGCGGTTTCACTGATGGCTAAAAGGAGTTACAGGTTAGAATTCTTAACAGAACTTCTTGATTTAGAGATAGATTAAATAATGTTAAATAATGGAGGACACAAAAAATAATGTTAGAGTAATAAAAAATTGCGATCAGATAAAAATTATATATATATATATATATATATATATATATATATATTATTTTAGGATATTACATCAAAAAAAGGTTAAAATCTATACATAATTGCAGTCATGTTTCGATGCATATCAATGTTGATATTTCATCTATGTGCATCGAAAGTGATGGGAATGTTTGTGTTTTTTTTTATTTTCCAGACACGGTTAGTATGTTATGGACGTACGTAGATGTGCTATTATTGAGTGTAAACCACGAGAACTTGTTGTTTGGTTTGGTTTATTTTATTTTACGGCATATCAACCTCAATGGGTTATTTAATGCCGACAACATTCTTAGGATAGATTCCTATGAATAGAATATGTATTCTTTGGTTTAGATTGGTTTGGTTTATTTTATTTTACGGCATATCAACCTCTATAGGTTATTTAATGCCGACAACATTCAATAGATTCCTTTAGAATATGTATTCTTTGGTTTAGATTGGTTTGGTTTATTTTATTTTACGGCATATCAACCTCTATAGGTTATTTAATGCCGACAACATTCTTAGGATAGATTCCTATGAATAGAATATGTATTCTTTGGTTTAGATTGGTTTGGTTTATTTTGTCTTACGGCATATCAACCTCAATGTG